AAGAATTAATTATTAATTATATATTAATAAAATTTCTAGATTTTTAGCTTTATTTTAATATATTTTTTATTAATTTCTATGTAGTAATTTTTGAGTAATAAATAAATAAAAAATTCCAAAATTTTTTGCACCACACTATATATATATATGTAATTCAAATGTATTTTTATTATTAAAAATATTTTATAAATAGAAAATTACTTTATTTTATCAAGCAAATTGATCTTAATCCAAAACAAGCACCATAGATTGTATTTAGAAACTTAATTTTGTAGATAGATAAGCTAAAGTTGAGCAGGTATATACTGTATATACAAATCTGCATTGTAATCGTTCAACTGATTTAATAAACAAACCACTTCAATCTGAAAAACTAAATTATGTTTTATTTAATATCACGATTCGTGTAACGTGACGCGGAAATTTTTGGGACGATGAAAATGATCAAACATTTTTTCATCTCCAAACATTTATGTTTCGTCATCTCAGATTCTTAGCATATCATAATTTTGGGAAATTTAGGTTTGTGAACTTACAAAAACCAATTTCTAAGTCAACACGAGCTTCACACACTATGGCATCACAAGAACATAAGTTGTGCATGATTCCTGGTACGATTATTGTTCTGATATAAAATTTATCCTTAACGTCGTTAATTAAATTTATCGAAATTATGTAGGTCCTGTTGAATTTCATGAGGATGTATTGACTTCGATGTCAACAGCAGCTACTTCACATGTTTCACCTTCCTTTATTTCTGTATTCGGCGAATGCGTTGAGCTTCTACGTAAAGTGTTTTTTACGGCCAAGGGACAACCTTTTATCATCTCTGGTTCTGGAACTCTGGGATTTGACATGACTGCCTCTAATTTGGTGGAACCGGGTGAAGATGTGCTGGTATTGAATAGCGGTTATTTTGGCGACTCTTTTACAACGTGGTAAGTATTGCAATGTCTGGATCTCGATAGAACAAAGTTTAAGCCATTTATTAAAAGACCCATTACGTTTACGTTGAGCAGCCTCGAGACATACGGTGCAAACGTTACACAGATTAAAGCTGAAATTGGAGATCGACCATCACTTGAAAATATCGCAGAAGTTTTATCATCCAAAAAGTTTAAAGCCATTACTATCACTCATGTTGACACTTCTACCGGCGTGCTTTCAGATGTTAGAGCCATAGCAGAAGTGGTGAAACAAAAGTCACCTGATACTTTAATAATCGTAGATGGCGTTTGTTCTATTGGAGCCGAAGAATTACGTGTAGACGAATGGGGTTTGGACATTGCGTTTACCGCAAGTCAAAAAGCGCTTGGGGTTCCCTCGGGATTGTCAATATTGATTGCAAGTGAAAGAGCTATTGTAAATATATGTTTACCATTATAATTAAATTATTTACCACTGAACGTATACATATTATTTGTTAACAACTTATTCTATTTAATACAAAAGGAAGTATACAAGCGACGAAAAACACCTATTCCAAGCTACTACGCCTCTTGGGCACATTGGTTACCAAGTATATATTGTTTTTTTGTTTCATATTTTTAAATTCACAAATTAATAATATTTGTATGACTTATAGTCATGAATGCATATGAGCTTAGGAAAGCATCATATTTTGCCACTCCACCAGTACAATTGATCTATGCTCTTAACACTAGCCTAAAACAGATCACCTCAGTTCCACTTGAGACTCGTTTCCAAATGCACAAAGAAGTTAGCAATCGTATTAAGGACGCCATTGAAAATTTAGGACTAAAATTTGTAAGAATTTTTCGTGTTTATAGTTCTTGCTATATTATTTGGCAAATAAATCAATACATTTTGTAATAGGTCCCAAATTCCAGAGAGATTGCAGCCAATGGTATGACAGCTGTTTACTATCCTGAAGGAATCCAAGCCACGGATCTCCTTCCCAGGGTGGCAAATCACAACGTCGTAATTGCGGGTGGTTTGCATAGAGCTATTGCTACCAAGTACTTTAGAATTGGGTAAGTATGAATTTGAACTGAAATTGATTTTCATGTTTAAATTATTATACTGACTCATCTTTATATGGAAAACAGTCACATGGGGCTCAGTGTCATCGAACCCAACAGAGGACATATAGATAAAACCATTGAATCCTTAAGGATAGGTTTGAACGAATTAGGTTATAGAGGAGGGGAGAGTCAATAAAGTAGCTATTGTATGTTTCCAACCTTGATATAAATTTATTATTTAACAAAAAAATAAAGTTGTAGATCTATGGTTTCTATTATAATACAATCAATCTATTAGTCCAATTCTAGAAATCTATTCGAATTAACGCAAACTAACCTCGTAAAGTATTTAAATATAAATTTAAAAATTCGATTTATTTTAATGATAAGTCAGTATATACGGCGTTATTAGTTTTTTATACAAATCAATTGTAAATTTTAAAAATTAGCATACGACCTATATCATAAATTTATAAACAAATTTGTTTATTGAATCCTGTAAAATATTTAATATAAGTAAATTTAATGATAAAATCAATGATATTTTTAAGTATTCTATTTTAAAGGCTTATAATTTATTGATTTATTTTAATTTATTTTTTTTTAAATTGTTACAAAGCATTAAGTATAAGACTTTATCTAAAATAAATAAATAAGTTAATTGCTATCACATTGGCAATCTTTACTAAAGTAAATTAATTATAGCTTTTATAATATCAATTGATATCAAAAAAATACTGTAAATCTATAATTTGAGCTAATTCTATCTTATCTATAGAAAGAATATAAAAAATTCTGGTTTATAAGTAAAAATCTTTCTAATAATCTCTTTTTCAATTTCATAACACTATTTATTTCTTTAATAAAATATTATTTGAATTTAAAAAATAAGTATTAGTTATAAAACTGAAAAGAATCCTTCCACGAATGATTCCCCAGCACTACCAAGCTCTAGCAATAAAGAAACCGATCAAGCAAGCCTTCC